GCCTCAAGATATGGTTGAGGAGAGTGTTTATTGAGGGAGAGTATAGTTATAGGCATCTGGAAGGGTCTTTACTAAACTTGGGCATGAGAGGAGGGGCAGGGAGTGTAGGAGAAAGAAAAATAGAGGTGCCAAGTAGATCAAGATCCAGGAGATCCAGGACTGGAGGCAAAATGACTGAGTTATAATAGGGAAGTAGAAGAAACCCAGCCCTGACAGCAAACATGGAGAGGATCATGAAAGCTCAGGCTCTCCAAGACAACTCAACAGTGGGTTATATGGCAGCAAAGAAATACCTGGAGATAACCCTGATTACTCCATTATTGAAACCTTAAGACAAAAGGCAGAGGCTGACAAGAATGACAAGTCTGTGAAGGATCTGGTCATCTTGCTGTATGAAACTGCACTCCTGTCTTCTGGCTTCAGTCTGGAAGATCCCCAGACACATGCTAACAGGATCTACAGGATGATCAAGCTTGGTCTAGACATTGATGAGGATGATCCTACTGTGGATGATAGCAGTGCTGCTGTAACTGAAGAAATGCCAGCCCTAGAAGGAGATGACCACCCATGGAAGAAGGAGACTAAGCCTCATCCTGTTTACACTTACCCTCATTCCTTCTGATGATATATTTTCCAGGGTTTTTGTTTGTTTTTGTTAACATTTAAAACATCTCTGGCATGAAAACTAAGGGAAGATAAAATTCCTTTCTACTTGTGATACTGTGAGACTATAGGTTTGATTCCACAGGTTGGTGGAACATTTGTTTTAAGACATAATGTAACCTACTCTTAACTTTGTGGTCTAAAGTGTTTGGCTGTTGAGCTGGATTCCTTAGTAGATTAAATCATTTGTCACTTTAAGTGTTTTGAGATGTCCATGTTTAGAAAGGACAAAAATTAAGGTGGCTTAAGTTTCATCTTATAATTTTTTTTTTCATCCCTGTAGTTTTAATTCTGCATGTACTAGTCTTAGAAGAACACAAGTTAAAACAACTTGACAGATGAATTCCCCTTGTGGCTTGTTTTTCAAACAAACCCTAAGCTTCCTCCCTAGGTCTTAACTCAGCAAGGCTTGTGAATGGAAATAGTGCCCAACCACATTCTGCTTTAAAAGGTAAATACAGATGAGATAAAAAAGGAAAAGAAAAAGGGAGGGGGGAAGCCCAGCCCCTTGGAGGGGGAGGGGTTTAGGGAAGGAGCCAGCTGAGAAGTGCTGGGAGGAGCCACAGGTGCTGACTAAGACTTGCCCCAGATTTCTTTGAGACTTAACAGAAGGTAATTTCTAAGCCTTAAAAATCTTTATTTCAAACAAGTTGTGGAGAATCGAATTCTTCTCTTCCTTCAACTTGCTGTTTTAATTTTTCTTTCATCAAATTCTTCCCTCAATTTTCTGGTCCACTTTCTCTTTCTCTAAGACAGGTTTGCATTATATAGAGGAGGCTGGCATAGAATTCACCTTCTGTCCAAGTCTGGTTCTTAGCAGTCCTCTTGTGTCAGCTCCTCAAGTGCTGGGATTATAAATTTGAGCAACCATGTTAATTTTAAATTGAACCATGTGGCTGGCATCCATTTCCTTTTTCCTTCCCTTCGATTTTCTTCTTTTGAGACAAGAATCTTATGTAGTCTAGGCCAGCCTCAGATTTGCTTTGTAGCTGAGGATAATCTTCAATTTCTTATCATCCTCCTTCTAACTCCCTAGTTTAGGGATCAGACCCAGCCAGGACTTCATGTGTTCTAGGTACCCTTACTAACTGAGCTGTGTCCCAGCCCAGAATTCTGCACTTTCTCGTTAACAATATGTTTCATTTATTTTAGTTCATGTAGATTTCTTCAGTGTTCTATGCTGTTTTGCTCTATTTTAATAGTAACTACATTGCTTGCTAGGAGCTGTATCTTTTATCTTCCCTTTTTGCTTTTTGAGACATGGTTTCTCTGGCTGTCCTGGGACTTGCTATATAGCTTCAAACTCAGAGAAGTGCCTGCATCTGCCTTCTGATGCTGGGATTAAAGGTATGCACCACCATGCCTGGCCATCTATTTTGTGTTAGGAATTAGTAATGCTTTGTAGATCCAAATGACATCAGAAAGACCAAGACTGCTAGAACTCCTGCCTTTTGCTGAATTGTTAGAAGAAAGCTATAGAAAACAGCTTTGCATTCGTCCTCACTAAGATGTAGTGCCAAAGTAACACACTCAAGGTTTCCTGTGTAAGCTATAGCTCTGCTTGTTGCACTCTTTATGGGTAACACTTTGTTTTTTTATTTTTATTTTTAGAAATTAATGTTTCCATTCTTAGAAATGTGAAATCAATTACAAAGATTTGAAATAATCAAAGATTATTGTTGTTAAGCAAAGGGTGTGACGAGGCAGTGTGTGCTCAGGAACCCGTCTACTCAGAACAGTACTGGTGATGGCTAACCTCGGGTACCAAGGGTTCTGGGATTGAGCCCAGCACCACCACCACCTCTCTTTTAAAACAATAAAGACCAAAACTTCAGTGAAATTTGTTATCAAAATGATTGTAAGACAGGCACTCTCATTTTAATAAAATTGAGAGTTACAGTTGCAGTGGCAACTGTATGCAGTGGCATACCCCAAACTAATAGCACAAGTCAGGGACAAAAGCAGCATTCAGCATTTGATTCCAGAGGCCATGCTTTTCTGCTGTTGTTGTCTCTTGCTATTCTCTATGTTTCCTAATGTACCTGAGTCACAGACTGAGATTTTTTTTTTTTTTTCAGACTGAGATTTTAAGTCAGGCTGTGCGGGTAGTGGGAGGTTTTGATTGTGAAATAATTGGATGTTTAAATCAAACTGAAGATAGAAAGAGTTATTATTAACTTGATAAAGAATTGAGTTGTGAAAAGTCATGTTTTTAACTTTTCATTTTCTTTTTATCTTTACTTACCTGCAGATAAAGACCCTACTCTAGACCATGTAGAATGCTTCTTTATAATGGGATTCATCATGGTGATGTTATTTTCTTGAGCTGATTTAGTAAATCCTTCATATACTAGTAGTGTTCTTTTTTTCACTATGGAGTGAAAAAAAGATTGATTTTTTCACCTCTGAATTATAATCTGGGGGTGATACAGACAGATATAAGGACAGGTATAAAATTCTTAATTATTTACTTAGCATTTTACTAATCAGAGAATTGGGACAGTTGTAAGAAAGCAGTTTTCCTAGTTTATTACCTTCTCTTTCTTCTTTGAAAATAACTCTAAGCCGGGCTCAGTGGTACACACCTGTAGTTCCAGCACTCAGGCAGGCTGATCTTTGAGTTTGAAGTCAGCCTGTTCTACAAAGTGAGTCCAGGACAGCTGGGGCTACACAGAGAAACCCTGTCTCGAAAAGAAACAAAACAAAACCCCAACTCTAATTAGATCTTTCATTACCATACCATTTTAGTGTTATTACTTCATTTTAGATCTGAGATTGATTGTTGGATGCTATGTAGTGACCTTTGAAAGCACTGATGATGTACAATACTGTTTTGCTTAGAAATCTTTGTGGGAGAAATGAGGTATGAAGTTGATATTTGTGGCTGCTTAATTGGTTGGTAAATTCTGCCTCCAGTTTTTTAACATTCACTCTTACACGTAACAAATTATTTTTACTAAAATACACATTTCCTCCTCCACCACAAATATAAAGAGTACTAATTTCCTAGAATACAGGAAGACTGTTCACATGTATATTTATCATTAATAATCATTCTTTGATCAAAAATATTTTGAAGAAAAATGAGATACTGTCATCTGGTAGAAAAAAAGTTATGAAAGAAACCAGTACCAATTAGAATGCTTTTAGAATGCATTAAAGTAATTTTTCTATCTTGTGTTTTTTTAAAATATTATGAATGATGAACACTTAAGTTGGATTTTGAGTTACATACTGTTTCTATACTAAAAGTATTTGTTATACACAAAAGGTAAAACTGGCTGGTGGTTTTTATAAGAGGTGAAAAGAAGATGGTAAAGACCTTAAACAATAGTCATTATTGTTGTTCTGTTCATTTAGAAGTTGCTTCTAAAAGCCAACAAATTTATTTATTGAAATCTTTGTGAACCTTTCTTTCATAAATGTTAGGTATGTTACTTACATAAAAATAGAGAATTCAAATTAAAATAAACTTGTACTTTAGGGGTTTAGTTTTAAATTGAGAAAACTGGTAAATTAATGTTCTGCATATAGACCAATAAGGTAGCAATAAAGGCACAAGATGGTAAATGGAAAGAGTTTATTTGTAGGCAGATAGATCCATTAGAAGTGAATGCTGTTGTGAATCACATTGGGTCATTTTTCTGAATTATTTAAGGTGGTCATGACTATTGAGGATGGCCTGTCACAAGGTTATGAAAAATGCGTTGAGAAGCATTAAGTGCAAAATAAGTAGAGATAAATTTAAAGTAGGTTTGTTTTAGTCTGAAGGTAGTTGTCACTAAAGTGAAACAAAAATAAATAGAAGGCATTAGAAGATTTTAGTAAGACATTTAGGATTTTATCATGGAAAGGAATGCTATGCCTGGAGTGTTTATCATTGTGGTTGGTGGTATAGTAAGTAATTTAATCAGTTAATTAAATATTTAGAATTGTTATGATTAATTCAAATGGGAGCTTATTGCCTAAATGGCTTTTACCTACCATAAATTTTCTTGTGATTGGCTAGACAAGTGTAGAGACAGCATCTTAGCAGTCAACTGTAGAAAAAGAGCATGCATTGAATTGGCCAACAAAAAATAATTTGTCTCTAATAAAATTCTATAAGGTCAATAAACAATTGCACTCTTGTTCAAATTGGTACCATTTCATTATAAATATTGAAGTTAAAATGTTTATTTAAAAGATTTTTAGGTCTTAGAACAGCATAGACTTGTTTTACTAAAGTAGATAATCAAACATGAGAAATGGGTTTTAAATTTTTTAATAGGTAATATTTTAAAACAGGCTTTCTTCTTGCTGGTATAACTAACATTTATTTTCTGTTTATTTTTAAGACGAGCAAAAATCAAATTAAAGTAGATCTTGTAGATGAGAATTTTACAGAATTAAGAGGAGAAATAGCAGGACCTCCAGACACACCATATGAAGGCAAGTATTTTTTCTGTATCAAAATATTGTGCGTATTAGAACTTGTCCTAAACATTGAGTCAGAGTAATCTTGAGCATCTTTCGATAAAATTCATGGAAGATAATTTTTTTTTCGTTATGTTTCTGTACTCTGCCTGCATGTACACCTGCACATCAGAAGAGGGCACCAGACATCATTATAGATGGTTATGAGCCACCATGTGGTTGCTGGGAGTTGAACTCAGGACCTTTGGAAGAGCAGCCGGTGCTGTTAACCTCTGAGCCACTCTCCAGCCCATGGAAGATAATTTTATTTGGCTTAGGGTATATTGAAGTTTTTAAAATGATTAATACATTTTGACAGTAACTGGACTGATTTTTCTTACTGAGTTTTAGCCGATTTTTTTTTTTTTAAATTCTTAAATAAATATAGCAGAGCCAGGTTACAGGTCTTGTAGGCTTAAAATTTAACATTCCATATGTCTTATTTTGCTATGCTGTAAAACTTCTTTCTCTATCTTGTTTCCAATTCTGTTGTTTAAAGCAGCCACATATTTATAGCATAAATGTAGAAAGAATATTGTCAGATACCCTGGATATAATTAATAGCAAACCTTGTCTTAACTTTTTGACTAATAAGATGGTGGTTTTGCTTTTAAAGCTCTCCCTCCAGGGGCTGGAGAGATGGCTCAGTGGTTAAGAGCACTGGCTGCTCTTCAGAAGACTCAGGTTCAATTCTCAGAACCCACATGGCAGATCACAACTGTTCTAGGGGCTCTCACACCCTCACACAAACATACATGCAGTCAAAACATCGATGCACATAAGTAAATAAACAAAACTCCCCCTTCCCATTACTTCATAAACATTTGGTAACATATTTTATAGGTTGTTATCCAAATACTTAATTTCTTTATTTAAAACTACCTTTAGTAATTATTTTAAAGCATACAGAAAAGGAAATAGCTTTGCTGATTTTTCCATATTCATTAATTATGATTTTAGCTTCTTACTTTAGAATCTGGAATTAAGTATATGATGAAGGAAGAAATTGGCATTTGGATTTCTTAGACAAATCTTCTTTAATGAGTATTGCAGATTTGGGTCGTGTAGAACAACCGTCACTTTTGCATATTACGTAATGACAATTCAAATATTTGTTTAATAGAAAGCATATGTAGTAGCATTTCCTTGTAAGAGCACTACATGTATTTTCTTACTCAGTTTCACCATATTACAAGGTAAGTATAATAAAAGTATAGTAATCCCTGTTTAATGGACAAATTTGAACTTAGAGAATTTAAGTCATTTGTCTAAGGTCAGACATCTTAAGTGGAACAGCTGGGATTTGGTTTGCCTTTGACTTCAAAGCCTGTGCTTTTAATAACTTTCTGTTTTTGATTAAATCAGGATTCACCGAGTACTAGAAGTGGTGCTTATGGCTACTTTAAGTGGAATGCTCTCTGTAGTCTGGAATGAAGTTCAGAGAACTCAGTATTTGGCAGTTTTTTATTCAAAATCTTAAAAGATCATAGAATATCATAAAACTATCATCAATTTTTTTTTTTTTTTTGAGACAGGATTTTTCTCTCCTGGACTTGCTTTGTAGACAAACTCAGAGATCTACTTCCTCTGTCTCCCAAGTTCTAGGATTAAAGATGTGCGCCACCACTGCCTGGCATTTTGTTGGTTTTTGAAACAGGTTTTCTTTGTAGTTCCAGCTGTCCTCAACTCTCAGCAGTCCTCTTTCAATTTGCCAGTGTGAGTCACTTTACCTGGCGTTCATTTCTATTTCCCTCTACTCGCTCGCCTCCCCTCTGATTTTTTGAGATAGGTTCTTCTGTGGCCTAAGCTGTCCTCTGACTGCCATCTGTGACTGGTTCTAAGCTCCTGCTTCTGTTTTCCAGTTGCAGGGCTCACAGGCATAACCCATAGATCTCCCAATTCTGAAGTGTGAAAAATCATATTGCTATTTATTCCATTTCTGCTAGTATGTCTGGCTTGTTGCATGTGTTTTATGTGATTTTTTTTTTTTAAGTCAGAATCTCACTGTGTACCCCTGTTGGCCTGTATGTAGACTAGGCTGGCATTGAATTCAGAGAGATCTGCTTGCCTGTTGCAGGTGCTGGGATTAAAGGCATGTATCACTGCATCTGGCTCATTTAGTTCTCTTGAAATCCATTAGTGGAGAAGATCTTAATTATCTTATCAAAATTAAACGTCTTAGTAGCAAATATTGTTTTGATCCCCTAGCTTCTTTAATGGCAGGTACTATAATTGTGGTGTTTTCGTCATCCATCCATCCATCCATCCATCCATCCATCCATCCATCCATCCATATATTTATGTGGTACCGAGGACCAAATTCAAAGCCTTATGCTTGTTCCCAAGCGGTTATAAACTGTGCTACATCTTCAACCCTATATTGTTCCTGAAGTGCTTTTTGAGATTTTTTTTGAAACACAGTTTCTCTGGGTAGCCTTGGGTGGCCTAGACTTGCTTTGTAGACCTCGAACTCACAGAGATCATCCACGTGCCTCTCTGTCTCCCAGAGTGCTGGTATTACAGGTGTGTGCTACTGCGCCCAGCTTATTCAGACATACTTTAAAAAATGATTTATTTATTTTATGTATATGAACACTGTTTTCATGCACAGCAGAAGAGGGAATGAGATTCCATTATAGATAGTTGAAAGCCACCATGTGGTTGCTGGGAATTGAACTCAGGTCCTCTGGAGGAGCAGCCAGTGCCCTTAACTGCTGAGCCATCTCTCTAGCCCTCGTGTTCAGACATTTTTAAAATGCAAGAAATAGTATTTTTATTCTAGAGCTCTTCCAGTAAACTTTTATAATACTCAGGGATCCCTTAATTTCAGTGGCTAGACTGTTACCTTGTTAGCAGTGTTTCATAAATATGCGAACTTGTAAAAATTGGGTAATAATTTTTCTTACAGTAAGATAAAACATTCCATATTTGCTAGAAACAAGTTATTTGTTTATTTCTGTAACTGCTTCAAAGTAAAAACATTTTTTTATTAGCTTTTATATGATTTAGGAGCATGTACTTGAAGAGTAGATTATTTTTAAAATTTTTACCCTAAAACTCAAAGTGAAATTAGTAGAAAATTATTACCATTTATGTCATTAACTTTTCCTTCTGAATATAAGCATAAATGAAAGAAGTCTTGTTGTGTTTTGTTTGTTTTCTCCTTGCTGCTTATTTGGAGATGAGATGGCCAGTGTGTTTGCTGGGCAGGCACAATTCCAAGCTGTTTCTCCACGGTGTGCTGTTGTTTTTTGGTTTAAATTTAAAGCTAAAGCAAAGGTTAACTTATAAAATATTCATTTATATTATCATTAAAAAGCAGTCTTATGTTTTAAAAATGTTCAGATTTTTAAGGAGAAAATGGAAAATTGCTGTATTACATTTTACTACTCAGTTTTCTTAACTTCCTTTTTCTAAATAACTCAGTGGTAAAGAATTAATTTAGTTATTTTTGCCTAAAAGTTTTTTCAAATTTGTCAAATTTAAATGGGCAGTTCAGTAATTCTCATATACTTCCTTTCTTCTCTTTGGAAGAAGTTAAAGGTCACAGTTTTTTCTTTGGATATAGTGGCTCATGCTTGTAACCCTTGCGTTTGGGAGGGTGAGGATTGCTATGAATTCAGGGCCACTCTTTGGAGAAGTGAGACCCAGGTATGACTAAATAGAGAGAGTGTGTTTCATATACCCTACCACCATCACTCCAAGGATAAGAGAAAAAAGTTGGTAAATGTTTCATAATTTGTGGTTATTCTTAAACTTGTGTGTAATGAGGACTGGAGAGATGGCTCAGCAGTTGAGAGCACAGGCTATTCTTCCAGAGGACCCAGGTTCAATTCCCAGCACCCACATGACTGCTTACACCTATCAGTAACTCTAGTTCCAGCGCTTCTGATACCCTCACACAGAAATACATGTAGGCGAAAAACTTAGAAACATAAAACTAGATTAAAAGAAAAAAAGTTATGTGTGCTACCATGTCTATAGTTAGCTATTTAGGAGAATGAGATGGAAAAATTACATGAGGCTAAGAGTTCAAGGCTAGCTCAGGAAACATAGCAAGACCTGGTTTCTAAAACCAAGCAACAGAAAACACAAATAGAATAAAAAGTAAATGTATTCTTCAAGAGGTAAATGTTTTATGTTGAAGGTTGTTGTGTATAATGCTTATAAAAGTCTTAGCTATTCAGCGATGGGGCCACTTGTATGACTGTGGGCCTTTGAGATCACATTAACCAGTGACAGAGCTGCCTTACTGTTCTAGGATATTTGCAAGGTGAGATCACTTAGTGATGCACTGCTAAAAGCCATTGTCAAAGCCATTGTCAAACTAGAAATTACTGTATGCCATGGCTGATCCTACAGTGATTTTGTATGAAAGTTGACGATTAATGCTTGCCAAACCAGTGTGACATGGAGTAGATTTTGAGAACTCCACAATCTAGCAGTGCTTATATATCATCTCTGGGTTCTCTGCTCCTAAATTTTTTTAAAGTCTTTAAGAAGAAAGAGCTTTGTGACAGATATTAAAATGCTGCTATGAAGTTTAGTCAGAAACACAGAGAATCTTAGAAGGGCCCATGTGGGGTACACCACATGTGTGCTGGAGCCATTTCCTTGTGCGGGTATAATCTGTGCTTTTACTTTCACTTTCAGTAAACCTATATTTTTACTACTAAAAAAGAAAAAAAGATGGTCTACATTTTATTTAAGCAAAATACCTGTATTTCGAGTTGTTATTTATAATTTGTAATATAAATGGTCTCTATATTTACAAAATTCTCTTAAGTACCCTTCTCTTACCTGTCTTTTTTTCTTCTGTTCTGACTGCTTTTCTTTACATATCACTATTACCGTAGGTTCTTGATTCAGGCATTTTGTTCAGTTCATATATTATTTAATAGAGGGGAGTCTAACAAAAAGAATGATGAGGCAAAAAGAATTGGAATCAGAATATTCTTGAAGGAAAAGAATGCTATTGCATTCCTGTACTCCCAGCATTTAGAAAGCTGAGGCATGAGTATTACAGGTTTAGGACCACCTGGGCTAAATAGTGAGACCTTGGGGTATGTGAGGTGGGGGGGAGGTGGATGTTGCCTAAAGAACCTGGGTATCAGTAAAATGTTCTTTTATTTTTTTCTGAAATCCAAATGCATACATTCATGGCAGTGAGAAAGGTAGATCAAAAGGCTCCAGATATAGTGACGATTTAAAAACTTTAAGAGCTGAGTGTTTGATGATGATAATGCCACTAGCACATCTCTGTGTTACTTTTCACATGCACATGAAGGAGTGATACTGTAATTAATCTGTAGCAATTGAAATAAAACCTTGATTAAGTAACTCATTCAATAATATGACAGGATTTATTTATCTCACCATTTATTTACTTATTTAGTTTATTCCTTGATTAGTAGAACAAGCCCTTAGTTTCATGGAGTTACGGTTTTGTTTTGTTTTTTGTTTTTTTTTTAATACTTCAGTTGTAAGATTCTAGCTACATTACCCTTCCTCTAGCTCCCAAATGCTTGTTTAACTTCTGGTTGTTCAAGATAGTTTCAGAACCAAACAGAATATTGTTTTTTGTTTATACAAATTATTGCTAGTTAGTAGTCTTGGAAGAGAGGATAGTGTTGTGTGTCTTAGCCTGTTTCTTATTTTCTTTAACTTTGTTTTGAAAATTTAAATCAAGGATTGACATCCAATTTAGAGACACAAGTTAATCCTTTTTGTTTTGAGACAGGTCTCATGTAGTTCATGCTATTCTTGATGTTTCTATGAAGCCACGATGGGTCTTGGGTTCCTGATTTTCTCTTATCTATACTGTTCACGTGCTAGGGTTACAACTGTATGACACCATGCCTTTCCTTAGGGGATAAATGGTAAGACTGAAACTTTTTTTTTCCCCTGCTGTCCTGGAACTCCCTCTGTAGACCAGGCCTCATTCTAGAGATCCCCCTGCCTCTGCCTCCCAAGTACTGGGATTAAAGGGCTGTGCCACCACCGCTTGGCAAGATTGAGACTTTGTTGGAGAGAACTGGCTAAGAGAGTTCCTTTTGTTAGTGACATCTGTGTCCTTTGTCTCTGTGCTTTCTTGTACTTTCTTTTTTTAACCCTCTATTTTCTGTCAACATCTCTTACATTGTGGGCTAGAGAAAACAAAACCACTGAGCCTTATGCTACTAATTAATGATTATGTATTTGACATTGGGTTGTTTATAGAGTTAATGTATTTGTGTGTCTCTACCTCTGTTGCTGTTAAACTACTATTATATACAATAGAATTTTTTTGTGCTTTTAATTTTCTTATATAAGATCTTGATTTCGATTGTTTTATTTTGGGATGTTAATTTTTTCAGCACTCAATGTAAAATTATACATATTTTGAAACAGTTTTTTTAGTGTATTTGGTTTCACATACTTGAGCAACATTCTTAAATTTGTTCTCCTACTCCCCCCCTTTTTTTTTAGGTGGAAGATATCAATTAGAGATTAAAATACCAGAAACATATCCATTTAATCCCCCTAAGGTATTGTAAGCCTGTTTTTATGCATGGCATTTTAAAATATTTTGTATTTTTTAACTCACCTAATTAATTGAATATTAATATGTTTTAGTACTTATTAAAGTTATAACTTTCTGACTAAAATGTGAATATATAGTGGACAAGATTTCAGGCACTGGTCAATGGTTTGCTGTTGAAGTTAGAATGAAAAGAAAGTTTACTAAAGGTAATCGTTGATGGCTATATATTGGAGTATAATTTATATTTCATAATGGCCCAAATACTAGAGTTAGGTAATTAGCTGTATAGTCAGATTTAGAGAGAGATTCTTGTTTTAAATAAATGCTGTTTAAAGAAGTATATATTCTGAATTCATTTAGAATTTATTTGAAGGCCAGAGATTAGCTAGCTCATTGTTAGAGTACTTTGCTTGCATGTGTTAGACCTTGGGTTCTGTTTGCATTATTGCCAAAATGAAAAAAGAAAATACACATACAAAAAAAAAAAGAAAGAAAGAAAGAAAGAAAGAAAGAAAGAAAGAAAGAAAGAAGAAGATATTGAGTACAGTGTGCCAAGAAATATATCAGTAAAACTCCCTGCCTTTTTCTTTTTTCTTCAAGACATATGTGTTCTGTCTTTATGATCACCACAAGGAATTATAACCCATTATTCATGTTTGTGAGCCACCATGTGAGTGCTGGGAATTAAACTCAGAACCTCTTAAAGAGCAGCCAGTGCTTTAATTGCTAAGCCATCTCTCTAGTCCCTTTATACTTTCTGCTTTTATGGAGCTCACATTGTAGAAAGCAAAAAGTCCTTATTTCCAATGTGATGAATATTGAGAAATAATGGTGCTATTCTAGGATTGTGTGTAACAAGGAAACCTAGTCTAAACTTAGACTAGGTTTACTAAATCAGTATCCTTATACCTTTACATTTATAACCATTTTTTAATTTTTATTAATTACAGTTTATTCACTTTGTATTTATAACCATTTTTTAGTCATTCAGTTATTACTTTCTTGTTCTGTCTGTCGTGATCAGCTGTCCATCTTCGTTACTCCTACTCATTCATTGTGCTGTCGGGTCAATGTTCCTAAAGAAAAGTGCTGATCATCCTTCTTTTCTAATATTGTTGAAACTCCTTATCCTGGTACTTACAGCTTCCGACAGCTGGATCTCAGTTTTTTTGTCTATCAGTCTTTTGTCTTTTATTCATATGTATGTGGGTCTCATTTTCCAGCCTGGATTATTTGCAGTTTGTAGATAGATGCTTATTTTTGTATGCTGTCTGCTGTTTTCACTTGAATCTTTATTCATATTATTTGAAATTACGGTTTTCTTTTGAGCTGTGGGTAAAGTAAATATATCTCTGTAAACTGTGCGCAACAATACTTCTTTTTCAGCTTTTATGTAAAAAAAAAATTAACAGATTTTTGTTTGTTTGGTCTGTCTCTCTGTCTCTAGGATTTCACTATGTAGACCACGTCCTCGAATTCAGAGATCTGCCTGCCTCTGCCTCCTGGGAAATGGGTTTAAAGGTATCTGTCTCCATGCCCAGTTAAGAGGATACATTTTTATTCATCCATCTATCTATCCATCTATCTATCTTCTATCTATCTATTTTTAATTGTGTATCAGTGTAAAAATGTACATATGAAGTGTGGATACTTGAAGATTCTAGAAAAGGACTTGAGTCCTCTGAGTGGTTATGAGCTGCCTCATGTGGATGCTGGCAACAAAACATGGGTTCTTTTACAAGATCAGCAAGCATTCTTTTTTAACCTTTTTTTATTTTTTAAGACCATGTAAATGTTTTCCATGCATATATGCTGTACCGTATGCATGCGTGCCCACAGAGTCCAGAAGAGGGCATCCCCTGTAACTGGAGTTATAGACAATTGTAAAATGCCATGTGGTTGCTGGGAACTGAACTTGGGTTCATAAGAACAGCCAGTGCTCTTAATCTCTAAGCCATCTTGATAGCCCTCCATTAAACATTGTTAACCTCTGAGCTGACTCTGTACCCCCCCCACCCCCCACCCCCCAGTCTTTTTCTTTTTGCTTTGAGACAGTATCTTACTGTGCAGCTCTGACTTGCTTGGAACTTTCTATGTATATCATGTGGCTTTCAACTCCCAGAGATCATTTCCCTGTGCCTTTAAACCCCAGATACTGGGTTTAAAGGCATACATGACCATGTTTTTTTTTTTTTTGTTCTTAAAGATTTGTGTATGTGTGTATATAAGTGTGTATGTACATGTATATGTACACCACCACATTTGGTTTACACTGAGGACAAAACCCAGCTCCCTGCATTCTCGGCAGGCACTCTAGAGCTACATTCCCAGCCCCCTTAGTATTATGCAGTAGAATTAAGTATATTCACACTTTGTGTAACCATAACCAGAATTTTTTCATCTTCCTAAAATGAAGTATGTTCATTAAACAGTAATTCTGTAGTTACTTTCAGCTTTTGAAAAAGTGCTGGTTAGCTGGGCATGGTGGTACATGCCTTTACCCCAGCCCAACAGAGGCAAAAATTTGAGTTCCAGGCCAACCTGGGCCAGGACATCTAAAATTTTATAATAAAGGGGGTCCTGTCTTTTAAAACAATCCCTCACCCCACCCCACCCTCCAAAAAGCAAAGCAAAACAATTGTTTTTTCTTCAGTATCTATGAATTTGACTGTTCAGGGTACCTTGTATAAGGCAAATCACACAGTATTTGCTCCTTGATGTCTGTCCTTAGCATTTTGTTGTCTCTGTTCATCTATGTTGTAACATGTCAGCATTTTCTTCCTTTTTAATGTTTAGTGTTTCATTTGTTGTATGCTCATATTCCCCCTTGTTTATCTATTCACGTAAGTGGAGCTTAACATAATTTATTTGCTTATGTACCATATATGCAAAAACACTGCTAATGCAAGGCTGAGGTACACACATTGATGTTTGTTAAAGGACAAACTGTGGGAGTTGTTTGTTTTTCTACCACTTGGGGTCCGGGGATCAAACAAGTTGTAGAACTTGGTTTGTCCTCTGAGCCAACTGGTTGGTTAGTCCTTGGGTTTTTTTGTTTGTTTTGAGACAGTGTCGCACTATGTATCCTTGACTGACCTGGAACTCATGGGGACCTGCCTGCCTTTGTCTCTTGAATAAAGATGTATGCTTGGAATAAAGGTGTATGCCCAGTGGGTTTTTTTTTTTTTGCAAAGGTCTTTCCCTATGTTGCCTGTGTTGGTCTTGAATTCCCAGACTCAAGCAGTACTCCTACTTCAGCTTCTGGATTAGTTCATATGGTTTATTGTATTTTTTTTCCCCATACAGGAAAGGAAGGAAGAAATAAGCTTTATAGCCATTGCATTTTCAATATTGGATGATAGTGATAAGTAACATTCATCTGTGCTAAGAATTTTTTAAAAAAATTTCCTGTAACAGCCTTTCGCTCCAATAGGTGAGAGAAATTGGGCTAAGAGAGGTTGGCTAGTGTCCAGATTCTGTGAGCTTTTTGGTAGTCTGTGTGAACAAAATACCCCCCCCCCCCCCACGTGCTTATGTAATTCAGACTCAGGTCTTTATCCTTTTCAAGCAGTTGCTTTTTACCACTGTCCCATTTCATTTTCTTTTATATTGTTACGTTCAGGTTAAACATGGGCCCTTGTGCCTACTAGCCAAATGTTATTCCCTAGGCCTTCTTCTTGAGGTAATAAAAATAATTTGGAAATTGGATACTGGTGGGTTGGAGATAGAGCTGTGTGAACCCCCAGTTAGTATGAGCAGCTCAATACTGGACGAGCTGGTATAGCTATTTGAGCACTTGCCAGTGCAAGGCTGTGTTTGACTACCAGCATCACTACTAAACAAGAATATGGTTGTGTAACCACACCAAGGATTGGAAAATTTGCCCCCATCTCCACTTTTGGGTAATCTTTGACATGTAATTTATGGGCTTAAAAATGTTTATCTTTCCTTTTGGCAGAGGGGTTCGAGACAAGGTTCCTATGTGTAACCCTGGCTGCCCTGGAGCTCACTCTGTAGACCAGGCTGGCCTGGAACTCACAGAGATCCACTTACCTCTGTGTCCTGAATGCTGGGATTAAAGTTGTGCACCACCACTACCTACTACACTTAAATGTTTTTCATTAGAGTAGAATACAACTCAAAAAAAAAAAAAGGCATTGTGTCACTGTACTATACCCTAAAATTACAATTATTGTGTGTTTATGATGCTTGTGGAGATCAGAGGATGACTTTTTAGATTGAATTCTCCATTTCTGTCTTTTCATGGGTTATAGGGATTTGGGCAGGTGTTCAGGCCTCATAACATAAGTCCGCCCATGTGTGTGCCCCCCCGCCACCCAGCACACACACCCTGCCTGAGTCTAACAGGCAGTTCATGGTGCATTCCAGCACTTTGGGATCCAAGGCAGATGTGAGTTCTAGGGTAGCAAAAGCTGATAGTAGGGCCAAAACAAGCAAACAAACAAGTAAAAGCTGGGGTGGTGTTTGACTATGTCGATCATGTTGGCTTTCTAGAAATACACCTTTCTCTGCCTACCAAGTGGGTACCACCAGGTTTGGCTCAGCAAGATCATTGAGCCATCTCAGCAGTTCTTTCTTTATTCGTTTGTTTCCTTATTTAAGACAAATTTTCACTACGTTTGGATGTTTACATGGCTTTCCATGTAAATTATGCCTGCCTGGAACTCTCAGTAATCCACCTGCAGGTAAAAGCATATCTGTCATGTGTCTTTATTATTTTAGAGAGTTTCTGGTAGCTCAGGCAGGCCTAGAACTCTACAAAGATAATGATGACCTTTAACTTGTGATACTCCTCTTTCTACCTCCCAACTGCTGACGTTCTGGGGTGTACTACCTACCTGTCTGTATTTTTTTTTTTTTTTAATTTCATCCCTGCCAATTTTGTTGTTCACTTAGTTTAGGAATTATAGAAATTGGAGAAAGTGTATGGTGGATATCACATGGTTCTGGAACAATGGCATGGAAAGCATGTAGTTGCTTAGGGGTAGCATAAGGCCTATGAAGGGCAGAGCAAGAAAGGAGATTAAAAACAATATGAAAAAAAGAAATAGGTCCTGGAATGCTAGTGTACACAGCAATGTCTTACTAATCTGTTATTGCTGTACGGCCAGGTGATGGTTGAGTGTCCTCCTGAAGAAAATTGTCTCTATTGGATCATCTACATTTGCAACAGGAAATTACAATGACAATATTAGAATTAACTTAGCAATTTCATTGGTGGTTCTGTACATGGATTGCTTCAGCACATAATGTAGAGCTCTTGCCTTTACTATTCCCTGGGTTCTACATCTGAGACCTAACACCATGGCTGTGCACACTCTGCAAGAACAAGAAGACACCGTGTCCTGATATCACATAAACTACTTTTTCTGGCACCGTTAGTTGCGATTTAAAATTCTTTTTTACAGAAGCTAGTTATGGTAGTACAACTTTAAAATCTACCCACGAGGCTGAGACAGGAAGATCCTGAGTTTGAGGTCATTATCTTAAAACAAAACAAAGAAAACAAAAAAACTCAAAATATTTCATTCTTATTGAAAAGGTTGAAGCACTGTAGTATTTCGGAATAGCTGGGTGTGGTGGAACACAACTTTAATCCCAGCATTGGGGAGACAGTCAGGCAGATCTCTGACTTTAAGCTTGAGGCTAGCATGATCTACATAGTGAATTTCAGATCTATCAGGGATACATAATGAGTCTTTGTCTCAAAATAAACAACCAAAAAATACAGAATGCTATGCTTTCCTTGAGTTATTGCTGTTAATGTCAGTGATTATTTGATGCTATTATAAGTTTAACTTATCAAGTGGAAAGTTGTAGATTTTTGTGTTCATATCCCCCACCCCTGGGGTTTCTCTGTGTAGCCCTGGCTGTCCTGGAACTCACTGTGTAGACTAGGCTGGCTTTGAACTCACAAATATTGGCCTGCCTCTGCTTCCCAAGTGCTGGGACTAAAGGCATGCTGCACCACCGTCGCCCAGCATGTTCATATATCTTACCAGGAAATGGTTATTGTAGGACTGGGGAGATGATGGTTCAGGAGTTAAAAGCACCTATTCTTCCAGAGAACCCGAGTTCAGTTGTAGTTACTATGTTAGGCAAATCACAATTTTCTGTAACTCTAGTGTAACACACACACACACACACACACACACACAAACAAAAAACAAAAAAAAACAACATAAATTAGATGGGCTGGAGAGATGGCTAAGCAGTTGAGAACACTGGCTGTTCTTCCATAGGACCCTGGTTCAATTTTTAGCACCCATGTGGCAGCTTACAACTGTCTGTAATTGTTTCAGGGATCTGACACCCTCACACAGCCATACATGGCAGTCAAGAAACTAATGTACAAAAAATAAAAGTAGATAAGTAAAATTATTTAAAAAGTAAACTAGAAATTTTTGTAAAGATGCATGCCTTTGATTGCAACACTTCAGAGGCATGTGGATATCTGAGTTTGAGGCTGGCCTGGCCTACAGAGTGAGTTCAAGGACAGTTAGGGCTATACAGAGAAATCCTTTGGGAAAAAACAAATAAAAAGAAATGATTACTGTGTATAAGTCCTGTCTGTGTATATCTTACTTCACATTGACTGTGTTTGAAAGAGCTCTTCTTTATTCCTGTGGTAACAAGTTTGCAATAATAATAAGTGTGTATTTAAGTTTGAGGTACTTAGGCACTGGAGGGGTGTAGATAGTGGGTGGAGAACCTTTTATTAGAGCCCAGACAAGGCACAGATTATAGCTGTGAAGTAAAAAATATGATGCAGGCAGGAGTAAAAAATGATGTGGGGACAGCATAGGAGGAAGTGATGAGTAATGGAGGTAAAAGTACGAGTTAGTGCACAGGCAGAAATGTACAACAATGTTACTGAGAAAAGAAGAAGCACAGAAATGTTCAGGCAAAAAAAACAAAACCCAAACAACTTGGATATGATACTAAGACAGAATAGAATAAAGGATTTATGGACCTTTGAGCTGTGGTCTAAAGGCATGGTACTAGCATGATCTAACCTCAAATGAATGAGCAAAGCCTATCAGAAATAGTCAGAACAGGAATTAGCATTCTTTAAAGGACTATAAACAACCGACAGAAGGTAGATATCATTGAACACAGTGAAAATATTTACTGTTTTGCTTTTGTAGCCCTGGCTGGCATAAATTGTCTATGTAAACCATGTTGGCCTCCCAATTCTTACAGAATCTGTCCGCTTTTGGATCCCCAGTGCTACCGTACCCACCTTGATTTTAGTTTTTTAAATTCTGAGTTTAAGTTTCTCATTAGTATTTGGCACCTTATAGTAGGCTTCAAATTTTTGTTGGATTGTTGTTGAAATGTTTGAGAACTACTTATATAGAAAAATTAGGACCATTATAAACCCTTAGTACATATGCATCCATTTTTCTTTAAGCCTGTTTTGAACCTTAGCTCACACTTGGGTAGGTATCATTAAATGTTTCTATTAGGTTTTATGTATTATTTTAATAGATTTTATAGTCTGTTTTATTTCTCAGATCTAGTGTAATATGAGGTACAGTGTAAACATCTGATAATTGTGTGTTTGAATGTAGAATATACATTAAGAACTTTAAACATGTCATTAATATTTGTCCTTCTGAAAACTTAGCTTTACTATATGCCTCTTTGGAAAAAAATGCCATATAAGTATATCATTTATCTTGGGATGCAATTTTCTTTTAGTTATATTTTACCTTTATATGTTTTTTTTTTTTTCCTCATTACTTGAAAACTCAAGTGTGCTTTATATTCTAGGTCCGGTTTATCACTAAAATATGGCACCCTAATATTAGTTCCGTCACAGGGGCTATTTGTTTGGATATCCTGAAAGATCAATGGTAAGAGATCTTTGAATTTGCTCTCTTCTCTTTCTCATAGGAGAACCAAGACTATGAATGTTAAGTGTGTTCATTACCCTAAAACATAAGTTATACTTTAGGTAGTAGTTTATAAATTCTTTTAAGTAAATAGTTAAAAGTATATTTTGATAGAGATAACAATAACTCATTTTTGTTTGTTTGTTTGATCATTTGTTTTTCAAGACAGGGTTTCTCTGTGTAACCTTGGCTGTCCTGGAATCACTTTGTAAACCAGGCTGGTTTCTAACAGAAATCTGCCTGCCTCTACCTTTCCAAATGCTGGAAGCTCATGCATGATAGCTCTTTCAATGGACATTTTTAAGTATAAGTAATATCAGATGCTAATTTTACATTTAAAAACCTCAGATTTCATTTTTTATTTTGGTAAATTTCCTTCCTTGTTATCTTAGGGGGGATTTGTAATGGACTGAAAATTTAAGTTGAAGCAGTTATCTTTCAGATCACATATAGGCAAAAGTTTTTCAGAGTTGTGTTGATGGAACACAGTAAAGGTTCTCAGGTGTCACAGGTACTTTTGTAAGTGATATTTTTGTTTTACCTTAAACTTCTTTTGTTTTACTTGACTGGTTGTTTATTTTATTTACATGTTTTTGGTTTTGATTTTTGTTTTGTTTTTCAAGACAGAGTTTCTTTGTGTAGCTCTGGCTGTTCTGGACTTGATTCATATATTCAAACCAAGCTGACTTCGAACTCAGAGATCCACGTGCTTCTGCCTCCCAAGTCCCGGGATTAAAGGAGTATGCCACCACACCTGGCTGCTGGTTGAATTTTTAAACACACACACTTATTTTTTTCCTTCTAAAGAATGTTTGCTGTAGAATCCAAACTAGCCTTTGAACTGAATTTCTTCTGCCTTACTCTTCAGAGTACTGGGATTGTAGGAGTGTAGTGGTCAGTCCTGGTGGCTGTTGAATATTTAAGAGTTCCTGTTCTTGTATCCTTCAAATTTAAATCTCCCTTCTTCCATTTTTAAGCCATGTCAATAAGCAGATTGATGCCTCTCAGCCTTCTCATTTTGTGAGATGAAGTTAATGAAGTAAACATTGGCCTGACAGAACTAAGTTGGTTTGTGTAATATTTTTAGAATGAAGCTGGTATATTTTAGCAGTAATTAGTCTGAGGCTGTAGGTTAATCCATAAAATGTTCTTACTCAGCATTAGCACAAATCTTATTAATGGAAAAACTGTGTCCAGAATTATAAAATGACTTTGAGTAAGGCAGTTCACACTTGTGAGCCCAGGGTTAGGAGGCTGAGTTATGATGATGTTAACTCTGAAGCTAGGCTGCACTACCTAGTGAAAGAAACCCTGCTTTGAAAGGCGAGAAAGAGAAGTATATGACCTCACCAAACAACGGGAAACAGTGCCATTGGACAGAATATAAGGAACACTGATCTTAGAAAAATCATGTATTAATGCTCATATATTCAAACTTTGTGTTTTAATTCTTGAAGAGAAAGAAAGTGATATTTGAAAACAGTCATACCAGAGTGATGGCATTTTATACATGAATAAAATATGAGTAGAATATGATTACTTACTATGAATAGAGTAGGATTACTGTTTTGGTTTCTTTTTGTATCAAGTTTCTTGATTTATTTTAGAATATACTTTTATTTTCTCTGACCAACACTCTTTGATTTTTGACCTTTTTGCCAGCTCATTGAAAGTTCAAGGCCGGGTTTTTTCCTATAACATATTTACAGCTCTCGTAACTTCCATTGATACCAGTGCATATTTGCACAGTTGGAGATGCTCTGTTTCATTTGCTTTCAGGATGTCCACTCTGCTTTCCTTTTCTGTTTCCATAGCCCACTTGTTTTTCTGTATCTCCTGGGCCTTTGCACACGAGAGTGCTGCAGGGGTCACTTTGTGAAACATTGGTGCATTGTGTGCACAGGTAAGAGCATAGAGTATGGAGAGAGCAGAGGACAACTTGTGTAGTCCTACCCTTTTAGACTTGTCAAACTTTGGCACCTGGTGCCTCTATCCACTGGGCCACCCTTGCTAGCATATAAATGTCTTCCTTGCACTCCAAGCTTGCATTGATGCCTACTTATTTCTTGTACTTGAATTACAGAATGAACATCTTAAATGTGTTAAAAGTGGCTACCCAAAACTCGCTCTTCCTGGGGCTCGTAGTACACACCTTTTTTAAAATCTTGGCATTCAGGAGGCAGAGGACAGTTGCTTAGCACTTAAAGCACAGTTGCTTTGCTCTTCAGAGAGCTCAGGCTGGAATCCCAGCACCCGCATGGTGTAGTGTCATGGCTTTTGATGCCCTCATCTGTCTCAGGGAGCACTTGAGTCATTCACAGTGCACACACAAACTTGAGGGAAAACACCCATACACATAAGTAAAAGGAAAAAGTCCTTTACTGTTTTCTATATTCTTCCTCATTTAAGCTTCATTGTGGTCTTCAATTTTCTTTTTTCTTTCTTTTTTTTTTTTTGAAACAGGATCTCACTGTGTAGCCTTCACTAGCTTGGAACTCACTTTGTAGACCAGCCTGGCCTTAAACTCACGGAGATCTGTCTTTCTCTGCTAGTGCTGGGGCTTAAAGTTACGCACCACCGCACGGTTTTTCTTCCCTTCTTTTGTTGTTGTCTACCCTGTGTAAAATATGATGAAGAGACTTGTATCTCACCACCAGCTTCCCTGCTAGCACCTTGATCCACATTCCACATTTCCTTTTGTCTAAATGATTGAAGTAGCCTGTCCCCTCTAAGACTCTCACTTGGCCCTACTTGGGCCATTTTTAGCAGTCACATTAAAGCAGTGTTAATTTGCTGAAGATAGATCTAAATTTCATATGTATGTATTAATGTGTGTTTATAAATGTGTGACATGGTGTACTTCCGGCAGTCAGAAGGCAACTTTGAGGAGCCCTCTCCTTCCCCCATATGGGTCCTGGGTATTAAACTCAGGTTGTCAAGCTCTGTGGCAGGCTTCATTTACACTTCCTCCTTCCCTCCACTCTCCCTCCCTTGGTATTTTGCCTTGCTGGTGACTAAATTTGGGATCTCTTGTCAGGCCAGTGCCATACTATTTGATCTTTGTTCTCAGCCCTCAGAAAAGCCTTGGGAGTGATGGTTACGTATAACCATCTAGTTAACAAAGACTAGCATATTTTGAAAGTTTGGAAGTCGTTATTGTTTGTGCAGGAGTATGGGCATGCATGGAGGTGAGAGGACAGCTTTGTGGACTTTCAATCTGGGCATAGAGTTTAGTTGCCAGGCTTGCACCACAAGGTACTGTATAGTTGCTCAGGTGTCTTGCTGTCCCCAAACCAATACATTTTAAAATTTCATATTCTAATTTGAAGTTTAGTACTTCATGAAATAGAATTAATTATACATATGAAAACCTGGAAAGCTCACTAAGCACAGATTTAATCAGCACTTGTGACAAGAATGAATAGAATGTAAGAGTTTTTTCAGGTACTTAATTTTACATTAACATTTATATTTTAAAGATTAGTATAAGGCAATAAAATATGTATTAATTTCATCAAAGATAGTCTTTAGGATTGGCCAAGTAGCCTTTCTTTTATATTTGTACCATTATTTCAAAATGTCATTGATTATTATTGCTTAGTATTGTGCTTTTTATGTATTTGTTTGCATCTGTCTGTCTGTCTCTCTCTCTCTCTCTCTCTCATATAAACCAGACTAGCGTGAAACTCAGAGATCCACCTGCCTCTATGTCCTTAGTGTTGAGATTTAAATGGTGCACCACCATACCTGTCTACTATTGCTTAAAAAAAGTTAATACTTTATATATTGAGAATTTCATATATGCATACATTGAAATATGATTATAATCTTTTTCATTTCTCACCTTCAACTCACTGAATATATCCCTGCCATGTTCTCCCAACTTCATGTTTTTATTCTTCCTCATTTATTCATCCATCCATCCATCCATCCATTTATTTTTTTGTTTGTTTGTTTTATTGGCACCCTCCTTTTTTTCTTTTTGAGACAGAAAAACAGAGAATAGGCTTTGGATATCTTAATATCACTGCTAACTCCTTTTAAAACAGGGTCTCTCTCTCTCTCTCTCTCTCTCTCTCTCTCACAGTTCTTATCCACATTGACTATTCTAGGTTTTAAAAGGTGGTAGAAGAATAGTATGTATCAATTACATACTATTACATTTTTTTTTTTGATGTGATAAAATATCATGTCCATGTCCAACTTAGAGATGAAAGTGTTTATTTTGTCTTATGGTTCTAGAAGGCAAGAGTCCAAAATGGCCGAGACCAATAGCAGCAGTTAGCCATAGCAGCAGCTTATCACATTTCTTTGGCATACAAGCAAACAGTGAACTTGGAGTAAGGGAGTTGTAAACTCCGGCTCATAGCGACTATATTGTCCAGTAAGGTGCCGTATTCTAAAAGTTCCATAAACTTCTCAAGCAATGCTATCAATTTGGGACCAAGTACTTAAATACACAAAACTGTGCAGGACAGTTTTCATTCAAAACCAGCACAACAGATGAGTAAACTCTCAGGTTTGGTTTATGAGTCTTCCTCCTTAGCACATGCTAGGCATATTGCATATTCAACCCAGACTTTGTTGTCCCTGGAGTCCCTGTCTCCTTTCTTGGCAATTTCTCATATTTCTATGTGCACACGGTCATTAACCTTTGAGGCCCACTTTGGCAGTGTATTTTTGAGCCACCACCTTCGTAGGGCGGATGGCTCTTGTCTCCACTCTGGCGAACCATTTTGCCCAGATTGGAAAGAAGTATACTTAGGGTTTGTGGGAAAGCGACACATTTTTTTAAGTGTGTGGTTGAATTATGTTAAGTTACATATACCTTATACAGACAATTTGCAAGTTTATTTTTGGCCCTGGACTCACTTGTAGGCCAGGATGGCCTCCAACTCACAGCAGTCTACTTGCCCCTGCCTCCCTGAGTGCTGGGATTAAAGTCATGCACCACTACTCCC